GTTAAGTCAAGGAACATGTACAAAGGACCCAAGACAAAGATGATGAGGGTGTAGAATTGGAAGTGGAATGTGGGTAGGGCAACAGAGAGTAATGGGGGCGGGATTGGAGACAACTATAATTGAACAACAATACAAATTAAAAAAAAAACAAAAAAAGAATAAAAATAAAGTTATAATTTTCTAAGCAAACATGTCTATAGTGTGAGTTTATGCAATTCCATATTGTGGGAAATGGAAAAAAGCAAAGAGAAACAAGAATACTGAGGGACAAAAGCCATGTTTTTTCCTTTTGTATATTTTTGTCTTTGAGGACTGCTTTATACCACCAAATTCAGTCGAAATAGTAGATTAATGAGAACATTATATTAATTACCTTTAATTTATAATCATATCAGTAAGAAAGCAGAGCACAATATGATTGCTAAAGAACTGGTTATGCATTCAGATCAACAGTAATTTGAATCCTGTATTTGCTAATTGTATTTATTCTGTGTCTTTGGGAAAGTTCCTTAAACTCTTTGCAGCTTAGTTTACTCTTCTGTAAAATGTGGGTGATAACAATAGCATCTACCCTATGAATTTGTAGTGAGGCTCAAATGAGCTAAAATATAAAGCTCTTTAGTCAGTTCTAGTTCATAGCAAATGCTTAATAAAATAAAAATTATTTTATGTAAGAAAATATAGGCAAATTGTTTTGACAGTTTCATGTCATGAATTTCATGCCACAATTGGAGTAACAGAACATAAATTTTGTTGCTTATTACTTAACTTATATAATACATTAAAACTTTGTGTAGGGTGGAGTGTTAAACTAATACAGCTATATGACTCTCCTGATGTTCTCTGAATAAACGAATGTGCTTGGCAACATGGAGAAGTCTGGATACTCCTCTCAAATTAACCAACATTCATTGAATTCCTAATATTCAAGATATTATACTAAAAGAATGAGAAAAATGTACACAGATCATTAAAATGTAGTCACATTCATAATGAGGAATGCTCACTAGTTTGTCAATAAATGGTTCTTTACCTGAAATAGTTAACCTGTCACTTGTCTATTTTTCTAAGTGTAGATTATATCCATAGACAAAAGCTACACTCAGTGACTTTTTAATGACATGAATGTGGAAATTTAACAGAAGACTTTGGTGCCTCCAACCAGAGAAAAATAAAGGCACAGCCAACATTGACTATTATGATGATGATGATGATGATGTCGTCATTATTTTGGAATCTGGTTAAAACTATCAAGGACAGATACTTATTGAGCATTTATAGCTAGCCATTGGTATAAAAAATCCCATATTATTGTTATAATATGTGATGATATATTTCAAATGGCAGTATTGCAAAAAAACATGAAAACAGTTAAAGCTTTCTACTGTTATTTTTTTAAAAAGTACATATAAGAGTGCCAGTATCAAAAGGCCACATACAGCTTCAATGAAAAAAACAAACATTATTTTGGATATAAACATGCTAGCAACTATAGACCACTGGAGAAACTAGATTACTATTCATTTCATTTTTGGAATTTTGTTTTATCTAATATAGGGATTTAAATGCATTTTATGAGTGCTGACAAAATTGTCTTAGTAATTTTCTATGCATTGCTATTATTTGAACTCATGCTTGTAAATAATGTTAAACAATATACATAATACATTATTTGAACTCAAATATTTAATTTTTTATCTTTATTTATTTGTTTGTTTATTTATTTCAAATACATTTGTCTCCACCTTCCCCCCATCACTTTCCCCTCAATCCTTCCCCACTTTGGCTTTGTCCTTGAGTCCTTGCTATATGTTCCTTGACTTGTCCCTTCCCTTCCCTTTCCCTGTCCATCCCTCCCTTCTTCCTTCGACTCTGTTTCTTTTTTCTTTCAATGTTGCTGCTCATAGCTTCCTTGCTTATTTATTTTATTGGTTAGATTCCACTTATAGGTGAGATCATATGGTATTTGTCTTTCGCCCCCTGGCTTATTTCGCTTAGTATAATGCTCTCCAGTTCCATCCATGCTGTCGTGAAGTTTAGCAGTTCTTTTTTTCTTTCTGCTGCATAGTATCCCATTGTGTAAATGTACCATACTTTTTTGATCCACTCATCTACCGATGGGCATTTAGGTTGCTTCCAACATTTGGCTATTGTAAATTGTGCTGCTATGAAGATTGGGGTGCATAGGTTCTTTTGAGTTGGCATTTTGGGGTTTTTAGGGTATAGTCCCAGCAGGGGAATCCCTGGATCAAAAGGCAGTTCCATTTTCAGCTTTTTGAGGAAATTCCACACTGCTTTCCACAATGGCTGCACCAGTCTGCATTCCCCCAACACTATGCTAGTGTTCCCTTTTCTCCACCGCCTCGCCAGCACCTGCTGTTTGTTGTTCTGTTTATCATGACCCTTCTGACCGGTGTGATGTCGTATCTCATTGTGGTTTTGATCTGCATTTCTCCGATGGCTAGTGATGCCGAGTATCCTTTCAAAGAAAAGCGTCTGCCCAGGTCCTTTGCCCATTTTTTGATTGGATCGTTTGTCTTCTTGGAGTGGAGCTGTGTGAGTTCTTTATATATCTTGGAGATCAAACCTCTATCTGATGTGTCATTGGCAAATATATTTTCCCATATGGTTGGCTCCTTTTTCATTTTGCTGATGTTTTCTTTAGCCATGCAGTAGCTTCTTATTTTGATGAGGTCCCACTTGTTTATTCTTTCCTTTATGTCCCTTGCTTTCAGGGATATATTGGTGAAAATATTGCTGTGTGGGGTATCTGAGAGTTTCTTGCCTATGTTCTCCTCTAGGACTTTTATGGTGTTGTGACTTATATTTAAGTCTTTTATCCATCTTGAGTTTATTTTTGTGTATGGTGTCAGCTGATGATCCAATTTCAATTTTTTGCATGTAGCCGTCCAGCTCTCCCAACACCATTTTTTGAAGAGGCTATTTTTACTCCACTTTATGTTTCTGCCCTCTTTATCAAATGTTAATTGACCATATAGACCTGGGCTTATTTCTGGGCTTTCTATTCTGTTCCACTGGTCTATGGGTGTGTTCTTGTGCCAGTACTGTTTTGATTATAGTGGCCTTGTAATATAGTTTGATGTCTGGTATTGTGATCCCTCCTACTTTGTTTTTCTTTCTCAAAATTGCTACGGCTATTCGTAGTCATTTATGATTCCATATAAATTTTTGAAATGTCTGTTCTATTTCTGTGAAATACATCATTGGTATTTTAATAAGGATGGAATTGAATGTATAAACTGCTTTGAGTAGTATGAACATTTTGATGATATTAATTTTTCCAATCCATGAACATGATATATGCTTCCATTTATTTGAGTCTTCCTTAATTTCTTTCTTCAATGTTGTATAGTTTCTGTGTACAGGTCTTTTACTTCCTTGGTTAAATTCATTCCTAGGTACTTTATTTTTCTGGTTGCTATAGCAAATGGTATTTTTTTCTGATTTCTTCTTCTATTTCATTGCTGACATGCAAAAATGCCTTTGATTTTTGAATATTGACTTTGAATCCTGCTGTTTTGCCAAATTCACTTATTAGGTCGAGTAGTTTTTGGGTGGAGTCTACAGGGTTTTCTATGTACACTATCATGTCATCTGCAAACAATGATAGTTTTACTTCCTCCTTTCCAATTTGGATGCCTTTTAGTTCTTTTTCTTGTCTGACCATTGTGGCTAGGACTTCCAATACTATGTTGAAAAGAAGTGGTGAAAGTGGACATCCTTGTCTTGTTTCTGATCTTGGTGGGAAAGCTTTTAGTTTTTGCCCGTTGAGTATGTCAAATACTTAATTTAAAAATTCATTTAAATTCTATTCTAATTAACCTAAAATAAACCAGATATTTCAAACTAATATAAATTCTGAGTATTAACTACAGATTAAAATTTTATGCATTGTAATATATTTATCAACTAACAGTATAAATATTATGATATATTTAGCACAACAAATGTTGCTTTATAAATTAACTCTATTGAGTAGTCATTACATCTTTTAAAAATTAATAATTATATTTTTAGTATCATGCTTAATTTTTTGTGTAATAGATGACATTAATTCTAGAAAACTTGGGCTTTTCCAATAATAATGGAACGATTTGTTTTCTTTAATTAAAAAAAATTAAATTTTAACAAAGAATTTTATTCATTTTTCTAGCCACACATTAACATATAATGTGTCATTTATCAGGCTTTCAGCACTCTGTGTCTTTGACATATTTACCCTTTTCATTCACTCATCCTCCACATCTTTTATTAATTAGAGTCCCCTTAAGCACCATGTGTAAGAATCATTTAAATTTCTGGTATATAGAAAGCTTTGAAATGTTTAATAAAATATTCAAATTTTGTGAAAGCATTACACTCTACTACACAACACTATTAATTTTAATACTTTTGAATGTCTTAAATATTACTTTCTTTATTAATTTTGTTATTATTAGCATATCATTGACATTGATTCTCCAAAGTTTTATATATGGTACGCCCTAGTGACTGTTAACAGAAGAAGATATTCCAACAATTTCCAAGAAATCTCTTCATAGAATTTCTAGAAGAACAATTTTTTAAACCTATTTTTGATCACTTATTATTTGAACTATTTTTATCCAAGAGGTACAATGAGATAGAATCACATGAGCTAAGGGATTAAAAATCACAGACTCTAAAGACTGACAGCCTGATTTTCAAATCCAGCTTTGACACTTACAAATTATTTGGCAAGGTATTTAAATGCTGAGTGCCCTAGACTTCTCCTCTTTAGAAAGGCATAATAAGATCTATCTTGAAAAGTGATGAGTTATATTAGATAATAAATATATGCACAGCACTTAGAAGACAGTCCAGCTGAGTTTCTGCTGTGAAAATATATGTACTTGATCAATTTGTACAAATTACATTGTATAATATAAATTTTTTCACATAGCTTGTAAATGATGAGATTATTATTTTTCTGCACACTTAAATTTTCTCAAAATACTTACTTTATTAAATTGTTCATTGCATCTGGGTCATATGCCGTAACTTGTCCAATGATGCTGCCCTCCTTTACGTCTTCATCTACCTCTATCAAGTAAGAAATTTTACTAAACACAGGAGGCTCATCGATATCCTCCACAGATATTTTGACCACAGCTGTGTCTTTGAAAGGTCCCAGGTGTAGAAATCGTGGATCTGGGTGTGTGTTACTTGCATCCACTCTTAAAGTGTACAGCATTTTGTTTTCAAAATCTAAATTCTGCAGTTAAATAAAATAAGAAAAATTAATATAATATAGCAGGCATAACAATGGAAGACAACTTCAGTATTTAATAACCAGTGCTCTTAATCCTTAAATAACTTTCCCAATTATTACTGCATAGATATATCACATAAATTAGTAAATATTGTTATGCCTTGTGCTTATTCACAGGAAGTAACTGAATATTATAGTAACATATTAATATTGATTCCCACTTAGTAATACGTTTCACATTTTGGTGGTCACAGGTTTATAATCTAATGTATATATAGGTTATTTATTATTATTATTGCTATTATAACTAAAATTATACAAAGTTAAAATGAGAGGAAATATAGAACAGAGATTTATCAAACTATTCATATTAGTCCGTAGGCTCCACATTTCTGAAACTGGTATTATAAAAAATATTTTATTAATCTGAATACTAGAAAGCAATAAATAGATGAAAGCAAACAATCAGGATAAGAGAGAGTAATTGATACTTAACTGGATTACTTTATATAAAGCTTCAAAATATTCTCCCACACTACATTAAAAATCAAGAAATCCAACATAAAACTCATAGCATTTTCAGGTTTTATTACCTTGAATAGAATATCACATTTAAACATTTAAATATGCTAAAAAGTATATGAAATATAGTGATGACTGCATGCCTATTTTTCACCTGTGGCTAAACATTAAACTAGTACTTTATAGGTTATCTAACCCTGGTTTGATTGCTGTATTCTATAGGCTAAAGCTGTTGAGTTTTTTTACAACTTTTCAAGTGTCAATGATGAAGGTGCTTAACTTACTTGAAGTGAAATCACAACTACTCCCACTTACATGAAGGGTAGACAGCATGTAAAGGATGGGAAAATAAATCCTAGGCTTTTCTTCCCTTCACTGGAAAGCAAAAATCAACCATAAAGTGCGCAAGGAAAAAATGAAGACAGTAAAAAGAAACCTGTTTGACAGTTATAATCCCTTCCTGTGTATCCTTGTCAGTGAGGACATCGAACATGTCAGCGCCTTCGCCTTCGGCAATGCGGTATTCCATCTCAGCATTTTCCCCCACATCAGGGTCATTGGCTTTTATCCTCCCAAGGTGGGTTCCCAGAGGCACAGACTCGGGAGAATTAAATTGATACGTGCCTGAAAATTAAACCGGAGCTCTTTTGAACATTTTGTCTTTGATAACAAAAATCCTTTATTTCCTTTGCCTTTTCTACTGAAATAAATTAATTTTAAATTGGGAGCGTTTTTCATTATATTAAATTTTAAGCTGTCAAAAATTATAGATTTATTAAGTAGGAAAAATAATTTATAAAGGCAGAGCACTCTCATTTTGTAAATGAGAAATATGAGTTCCAGAAAGACTGAGTGAATATCCCAAGGTTATTTAGATAATTGATGGTAGGCCTAATATTAGAATCCAGAACTTTGGCCTAGGGCAAAAACCAAATAAATCTTTTAAATAATTTATACATATAAAAATGTGTATGACAATGTCAAAAGCTCTAGATAAGCTGCTTCTTAAGCATTAGTTTTTATATTCTAAATCAGAGATAGAAAATTCACTTATATATATTTTTTTATATTACATGTTAATATCTTTAAGTGGGGTATGAATGTCTCTTTTTCTTACAGTTCTAGCCAACCACTATTTTGAATTGTGCTATCCTTGAAAGCATTTTATATAGTTTCTGACTATGTATTCAATAATTACAAAACATATCAAAGAAAATTTTTAAACATTTAATATGTGCTAAATTCTATATAGGGCCAAAACCATCTATGTTAACTCATTTAATTGTAACATTAGTTTTCATAGGACGAAGGTAGGTATATCAGCCTCAGGGATAGGGCTGAAGGAAACCATCCTATAAAATTGGGGACAGCAGAGAACAGAACAAAGGCTCTCTGACTTCAAAGTCTGTTCTCTTTTCAGTGTGCTTGGTGGTGAAGAAGAGAAACTGCTAAATACAACTGCCTGGATTCCAACTTCCATCACTGCGCCAATCAGTTAAATTCTCTAATCCTTGATTTCCACATCTATAGAATCAGACTGATAATGGTAGCAGTGGACTCATAGGTTTGTTATGAAGATTGCATGGGATTATGTCTTTAACATGCTTAACTCAGGGATAGTTCTTGGTTGTTGTTGTAGTTCCAAACCATTTGCTAACTTTATAATTGATCATAGAATTATAGAATGTCAAACCATTTGATAATTCATTAAATTATACTCTTTTGGTTTACATTTATGGAAACTGAAAACAAAGTTTAGATTTATGTTAATTATCCTTATTATTCTCATTCTTAGAAAATTTTATTTTTTAACTTTCATCATACGTTTAAGTCCACCATCCAAAGCTGAATCATCCAATATCTTAAACTTGATTAGCCTAAGAAAATGTTTTACTGTATTGGAATCCATGTCATGCATTTAAATTTGAACTCCTTACTTGAACATTTTAAGACAGGGACCTCTCTATGTTTATTTATTGCAAGATGGAGATATTTTCAGCAGAGTATGGGCATCTCTTTTTGTAGGATTTCATGGCATACAAAACGGAGTTTATTGAAAGAGCACTGACAGGTTTAACCTTCACAAGTAGGTAGCAGATACCAGCAAACTTGGACATGTCTCAGATGCCATCACAACCAAGGCATACCATAACTCTGTGGGCCTCTAAGGAAATGAAAAGTGCCGCCAACTGAAGCAACATGCATTGATTTTAATACAGTCTCTGATTTCAGAGACTGTTAAAGCGCCAAGTCTGTGCTTCAGAATTGATTAAATAAAGAATTATAATTCTTATGTTCAGACAAAAGAACTGAGGCAAGGCAAATCACAGACATGAGATTTGAAGCCAGGGAGTCAGAATTGAGAGTCCACACTCCTAACAAGGAGAAAGAAAAGAAAAAGAAGAAGTTGGTCATAGTGAAGGTTGTGAAAGGTAGCCTGGAAAACTTTACTACTCCTTTAAATGCAGCAGAAGACAATGATTTGCGTGTTTCCTCTCACTACCTATTCACTGATAAAAATGATTGCAATGGCTTTCAATTTGTGGGAAATCATATTTTGTAGAAACAAGTGTTGTAGGTTTGCCTTTATGCATAAACATGAAGTGAAACCACTAGTGCAAATATTAGCCTCTGTTGGTCGTGTGTTGGATAAGCCTTCGGTCATGAAACCACTGAGACCTTTCTTACTCTGGGGAAATCGAGGAGGGTTGTTGTTGACGTCGGTCAGCGTGATGTTCACTGTGGTGGTCCCAGAAAGGCCTCCCATCTGGCCGCCCATGTCCTTTGCTTGTATAACCACTTGGTACTGCTCCCTGTTTTCTCGGCTCATGTCCGGTAATGCAGTTTTTATAATGCCTTTTGGGAAAGTAGAGAAATGTTTTATAATTGAATCACTGATTTTTAAATTTAAGCTGAGCAATGTCCATTTTACAGAAGTTAATCATAACAAAGAGAGAAAATGTTGGTGTGCCAAAATATGCGTTTCAATTTTTAACCAATTTAGCATAATTGACAGGACAGAAAGAATGTTTCCATTGGTTATTCTGGAAATGAGTCTTTCTAAATCAACTTGATTATCTTTTGATGAATAAAGAAATGAACTTCAAAACTCATCAAATAAACTTCATTTTGATCATTGTTCCATTCTTTAGGTTTGAGTATTTCCTATGACACATAAAAAGCTGAATTTCTGTAGTTTTTAAAAATTTATGCTGTTAATGGTATTACAGTTGTCCCTGCTTTTTCTCCCTTCACCCACCTCTACTGAGACCCATGCTGTCCCCTCCCCCAGCCCATCTCCATATCGTTGTCCATGTCCGTGGATCACGCATAGATGTTCTTTGGTTAATCCTTCCACCATCTTTCCTCCAGTCTTCCCTTCTCCTCTGGCAGCTGTCAGTCAGTTCCATGTAACTATGTTTCTGTTTCTAGTTAGTTCATTAGTTTGTTGTGTTCATTAGACTGAATACCTGTGAAATTTTGTATCTAGTGTTATAAATTTAAACTCAAAAACTAGTCCAAAAGCTGATGCTTCAAATAATCTCTATACATTACAGGAAATTTGTTATTTACATGTAATAACTGTAGGGAATAAGTAGAAACATATACTGAAAAGCTAGCATTTGAAGTACAGAAAATATGCAAATTAAGTGTGCATCCAGATGCATTATGTAATGAGAAAGGGGCCAAATTAAATTCTGTTACCTGATTCTGGGTCCACTGAGAAATAGGGCTGTCCTTGCAATATGCTGTAGACCACTTTGGCACTATTTCCGTAGTTGGCATCATCTGCATCTGTCGCAGTCACTTGTGTAACTGATGTACCTATATGAATCCCCACCCAAACAAAGACACTAAAATACTTCTGAATTAGAAACTATCTTTTTGAAAAATTACTACTGGTAGTGTGATGTGTTAGACCATTTGAAGAAATCTGTTTAAATGACGCTGCTTGAAAAAAAAACACCTCTCACTTTTGTCTTTAATTCTTTTTTAAATTTAAATACTCCTTGCATTCATGGTTTGTGCTATCTAAAATCAAAAACATGTAATATCATGAAGACTAATACAATTAGACAAATGCTGGTTTTTACTCTGGTAAATTAACTGTGTATTATAATAGAATGAAAAATGGAGATGTCCTTTTTAATAAAACAAACAAAATGACATAAAATTGACCTGCAATATTTTTATAAACTATATATATGTGATTATTAAGTGTTGTTGCCTCCCCTTTAAAATGTAACAGTCACATTCAATTATACCTATTGATAAGCTACGTATTATTATTTTCTGCACATATATAAATCGGTAGACATTTCCTTTACTGTGAAAAATGTATAATACTGTAAAATGCAATATTATAATTTAACATTAATCTCTGTTTAATTTTATTGTATAAAATTTCAATTATTTTCTTTAAACTTTATCACAAATAATCTTCTTTAAAAGATTTTTTTAAAATTTATTTACTTTTTAAATACATTTGTCTCTGCCTCCCCCCCCACCACTTTCCCTTTCCCCCTCCCTCCTTCCCTCCCTCAGCTCTTCCCCTTTGGTTTTGTCCATGAGTCCTTGCTATATGTTCCTTGACTTTCCCCTTCCCTTCCCTTACCCTGCCCCCCCTTCCCTCTTGTCTCTGTTGATTTCTTTTCCTTTCAGTGTTGCTGGTCATATTTTCCTTGCATCTTTGCATTGTTGGTTAGGTTCCGCTTATAGGTGAGATCATATGGTATTTGTCTTTCGCCCCCTGACTTATTTCGCTTAGCATGATGCTCTCCAGTTCCATCCATGCTGTCGCGAAGTTTAGTAGTTCTTTTTTTCTTTCTGCCTATGCACCCCAATGTTCATAGCAGCACAATTTACAATAGCCAAGTGTTGGAAGCAACCTAAATGTCCATCAGTAGATGATTGGATCAAAAAATTATGGTACATATACACAGTGGGATACTACGCAGCAGAAAGAAATAAAAGATTTTTAAAAGTTGTTAAAAAGGTAGCTTCAGGAGCTAAACATAATACACTATGTTGATAAACTTTTCTTATATTTCAGTAGCTCCTTCTAAAGAGCCAAGGCAAAATTGTAAAACTACTATTAACTGAAGCCTATCTTGGGAAAAATGAGTTTATATGACATTTTACAGTATACTGCATATAATTTTTCAAATGTTTGACTCATTCTTGCATAGATTTTAATATTTTTTAAGACAGAGCTTTGTCATATATTTTAATACCCCACATATATTGCACACTCATATCTTGTCTGAGTTGTAGTGGATGTTTTCAAATTCTACATGTATGTGTAAGTGCAAATTCAGAAAAATAACAAGTTGTATATTAAGATTAAACTAACAGTCCGTTTCCCACCAATATGTTCAATATGATAATTTCAGCAAGACCTTTGTATTCTCAAAATTAATTAGAAAAGATGAGAAACTTAGTTCTTCTTCTAGAGGCCTCTGTTTCCTCACCTGCAACGGAATTGACATGTCCTGTGAGAAGATATACTACAACTCAGTCAATCCCAGATGTACTCTTTTATTATGTAGAAAATATCCACTGATGCACTAAAGTCTTAGCTAGACCAAAGCAAAGTGATCCCTTCACCATTACAATGTGCAGAGTTCTCAGCACTTGATTTGTAATATTACCTTATCCTAATAATAAACATAGCACTAGGTATTGGGGCATTTAAAGGTGGCTAACAATCACATACCTAGGAGATGATAAGGATGGGATTCAACCTCACCAGTCTGAGGGAAGAAACTTCATTCTAAATACTTTACTAAATGGCCTGTCTGGTGTTATGGATATTATGGTACATGTTACATAGCCAATTCATGCTGGTGACCTCTACGTTCCAGAATTAGGACATACCTAATTTTTCATTTTATGTCTTCATATATTATCAGATTATGTATTCTGATCAGAAGATGATAATTTGTTTCAGAATTCAAGACTTACTTGGAATTACTGGATTTCAACTAAAAGGGGGAGCACATGATTCTGATAATTAAAATGAAATATGGCATATGATTTTGAGAGAAACATGAGTAGAGGGAAAAAGCAAAGAGACAAGTTGGTGAGAGAGAAAAAGGAAAGACAAATATACTGAGAAAAATAAACAGGAAGAAGAGACCATTATACAGAATGTCAGAGGATGACATTGGAAAGAAGGGTAAAGTATAAAATAAATTTTATGTTTTTGTCATTAGAGTCTATTTACTCCCAAAGTTAATAGTTAATAGTTTGTTAACTCTTTGATTTAAATCAAAATCATTAATATGCTAAAAATAATATTAAAATAAAACCATTGTGTATTACTTTATTTACAGAGGCATTCTTTATGAATTGATTACATATGGGATTTAACTGTCACTATGTGGTTTACACATAGTCTGACAGAGTTGCTAAGAATCACTTTTTATTTTCCTTCTGTAAGTGGTTAATTGTATAAGAAAAAGAAGAGAAAATCACATCTGCAAAATGATGAGTTTTTTTTTAATCAGGTAGGAGAGTAACATAAAAAAAAAATGAGAAAATCTTACTGTGAAATGCAGTTCCATCCTCCATTTCTACTCTTATTTGTAGATTTCTACTCTTTATTTTAATTTTACTGAAATAGGGGGACATTCTAATTAAAAGAATTAAATAAGAAAAATGAAGCTTTTGAGGAATTACTAAGACTATAATAAAATTAGAAGTTTTTTGAATTATGTTTCATTGTCTAAGCATAATGACTTTACAGTGGAGAAAAATAGCAAAGCATTATATTTATCTCATTATTTCATTTATCAAACTTTTTTTAAAAATATTTATTTATTTATTTATTTGAGGGAGGGAGAAATAGAGGGAGAGGAACATTGATGTGTGAGAGAAAATATCAACTGTTTGCCTCTTGCACACTGCCACCTGGAGACTTGGCCCACAACCCAGGCATGTGCCCTAACCGGGAATAGAACCAGCAACTCTTCTGTTCACAGATCAATGCTCAATCCACTGAGGAACATTTGCCAAGGCTCAACCTTTAAAAAAAACATTAGTATAGTAATGAACTGTCTCTGTGTATTGTGGAGCAAGTCAGTTTAACTCTTTTGGGCTCATTTTTACTTATTTATTAAAATACATGGAAAATCAAGTGTGTCTTCTACATGTGAATATTTTATATATTTAAAGATAGGTATACATATAGTCTATGGGTGGGCCAAGGAAGATGCAAGTAATGCTGTGATGTTAATATTGGCAATGAAGAATAGTCGCTATCCTCTATAAATAAGACCAAGACTTCCCTGTAGTTCTTATCTTTATTTATTAGTACCAAAAACTGCAACCAGAGCCACACTGCTGCCCAATTTTTTAAAATTTTTTTTGTAATTGTAGAAATGGAGGAAATGCGATTGGCAATGGTCATAATGCTTGCAATTATCAGAAATTGTACTAGCCACGATTTAAATCTTGTATAAATGAAGTATGGATTGCTTTATAAGGAGGGTATTTTGGACAAGATTAGAAACAAGTCCTCTTCTATGCATAAAGTTGTACATTCTATATTTTATTACAGGCATTGAGCAAGAGAAGGTTTTTAAAAAAATAAAATATAGACTTGCTTATTCCAGTCCTTATTTTGTACGTGATAAGTACTAATAGAATCTAGACTGTATTTGTATTTCAGGTGAGAGAAAACCTATTTGAATTAGGTTTACAGGGGTCGCCAAAGTAAGTTTACAATTGTAAGTACACAAAATGGAGTTTATTATGTTATTATTATTTATTGTATTACTTATTTTTATTATAACTGTAAACCTACTGTTGCCCACCCTTGTAGGGATGACATTACATTAAATACACAAAATAATATAGGAAAAAGCCCAGATTATTTAGTTTAAATAGCAATAGTATCTAACAAATACTGTGATTTTTAAAATGAGGTAATGCTTTGAAAATTTGAAGTTATACAAATTTAAATAAATTATTATCAAAATATATTATAGTTAAATATCTCTGTCATTTCGGTCATACTGTTTTACTCCTGTAAGTATATCACACCATTTTAGAGAAGGAAAAGTGAAAGTTTGTGTGTTAAGCATTAAAGTGTCTGGCAAAATAACATATATACAATAAAAAATTAATGTGTTTTTTTTAATCAAAGGGTGTTAACCAGAATACCAAACTGTATTAGAATGTTCATTAATGGGAGGTTGAACTGGAGAGTATAATTTTTAAATGCATCTCCATCTCAGATGTGATCCCAAAAAAGGAATCATGATGCAGATAATGCATCACTGGTTGACCTTCTTGGACCAGTCTAGTACTTTCCATGGAACTGTACCAAGACAATAGGTATTTAAAATTATTTAAGAGAACACAACTGCACTTATTTCATCCAAGTTCTTATGATTTTATAGGGCTGCTGTTTAATTTAGTAAGTCCCTTTCATATTACTGAAATGAATGCACACAAAGGCAGTAGAACTCAGTTTCTCAGACAGATGAGATTTCATTTGATGTTAGAGGAAATTATAACTTTATTAACAAACTGTTCTTCTGACAACATGGCAAAAAGTTAAGACACATTTTTATATCAATCACTCAGTAAAGATAGATATAACTTTATTTTCCTCATAAAATCATTTTAGAGTGAAATATGTTAATTATAATAATGTCAAAATCATAAACTTAAAGCTGATTTTTATATAACATTCAAATACATAAGATCAAAATATCGGTTGCATAGTTCAGATGTTATAGTAAGCTTATTTTTGATGTTATTTTAGAACTATGTTATGAATTTAAAGTTAGCTTTTATTAACAAATTTAAAGTTTTTATAAAAATAAGTTTAATGTAGTCAGATATACAGATTAAAAAGCAATGCATAATAAATGGTATTTAAAATTATGGGCAGACTTAAAAATGAAACAATTATTTTCAGTTTGCATGATAGTAACTTAAATGACATACAAGAAAAAAGACTTGAAATGTTGTTATGCTACCAAGTCATTTGATCTTAATTCAGTTGCTTAATCTTTCTGAACCTGGGGTTCCTAATTAACAGAATGGGGATTTGAAGTTGTATTTCCCTCACCTACAACATTATGTTGTTTCAGTGATCAAATGAGACGATCAAAAGAAATTTGTCAAATGCAAAAGCATTAGTTGTTATTATGCAAAAGAATGCAAGCAAAACTCTCCCACACTACTGATACTATTTGTATTCCTTTCATTTAAGACAAAAATATACTCAACTTGAATGGCAGTCGAGTTGAGGTGAAAATGGTTGAAATACAATGGAATAATTGTTCTCAGTACTAATCATTTTAGATGTCAGTTACAACATAGCAGGACACTTGAAAATACATACCATTGGAAACATTTAAAACAGAGATAGCTAATGTGAAACAATAGTTTTTAGTTATAGTTCTTATCCTGAAAGAGGCCCATATTACAACTAAATGTGTACAATATTACCTTAGCAAATAAGTAAAAAAAGTTAGTTTACATGAATTAACATATACCTACCTACTCCAGACATCTCAGGAACACTGGCAGTGTATAAGTCTCTTGTGAATTTTGGTTCATTGTCATTGATATCATGGATTTTAATGATAAATTCAGATTCGGGTTCCACCTGCCGCCCAGTCTTCCTGTCTATAGCCTTGGCACGAAGGATGTACAGGGATTTTTCTTCTCTGTCTAATTTCTTTGCAGCATGAATATCTCCTGTATTTTCATCTATAACAAATATACTGCCAGCCCCATCTCCTGTTAATATGTATTTTAAATTTCCATCTCCTTTGTCTTGGTCAGTGTGAAGCTTTAGAAAAGTAGAAAAAAAAAGAATTCTATAAATAGATGCATTGTTATTACAGAAAAAAATAATTTGGCACAAATCAAGTTGTCTCCACATAACATCACTGGAACAATGATTGCAATGGTTATCTTCATTTTCACTGTGGGGAAACTACACATTTCAGTTTTATCATTCTCAAAATTTTTCAGTAATTATATTTATACATCAGAGTGATCAAATTTAAAATATGATAAAAATGAATATATCCTTTTTTCAAAACACAATGTTTAAGAAATATTTTTGAATAGAATGTTACTAAGGTTTAAATCTCTAATACATTAACAATAAAAAAGTTTATTAACCTAGATCTTGAGTGTAAAATATTAATACACTCTTCATTACATTGAAAATCACTAAACTCAAAAAAATGATAGGAAGAATTTCTAAACTTACAATGCTGAAAAGTCTAGGAAAAATATGATTTTAAAAGTGGTTTACCTCCTAACAGTATATTGTTTGTAGATGCACAGTTTCTATAATTAGAGAGTTCAATCAGAGAGAGAGGGTTTTAATCTTGTATATCAGTCTCTTGGGAGGGTACTCTTTCAAATACAGTGTTCTCTTTTTCAAAATTGGCATTTTATGTTCATTAGAAATTTCAAGTGATATCAACTATATGGGGCTTTTCCTCTGGCCAGGTAAATAATTTAATAAAAATAGGATTTTTTTCATAAGTTGTCTTTCTTCTGATACATACTCATTTTAGTAATTAACTTCTTAATGCAGAAGGCTGTTCATATGGTATTGAAAACAGATAAAATGAATCAAATACTAACAGAAATTTTACATTGGAAAAAAATCTTCATATGTTTGCAAACATAACTGTTTTGAAACTTGAGCCTTAACTAGCCTATACCTGCTATGTTGTTTTCAATTATATACTTCACAATTTTTGTTACATCTTGGTTCTACCTATTTCTTTGTTTCCACATTCCACCTGTTAGTTGACTATTAAATCTGGGGGTTTTTGTTAGCTAAAATAAAAAAATTGGAATTCACATTTTATTCCTCCTTTGTTTTTAACTCTAATATTAAAATAACCATCTGCAGCTTTTCTTTTCTGAAATATCTTCCTGACTCATCTATCTGCTTCCATCTGTATAGTAGCATCCTTACTTTGTTTTCTATCTTATCTTAGTGAGACCACTACAATGAGCTCTTAATTGAAGCCTGCCTCCTCTCTTGCTCTACTCCAGTTTCTCGCACTAAAGAAGTTTTATCTATATCACAAATCTGGCCATATTATTCCAGTTTAAAAATCAAAAAGGCACAGTGCATGAAAACCATGACTTCAGTCTTACAGACCACGGTTAGTCTCATGCAAATTTGTGTTACACTGGGTAAACGGTGTATGTGTGTATGTGGGCATGTGTGTTTACTAATCAGGCTGCTCTACTATGGAGATTCTATTCTCTTTTAAAAAAGAATCTTTAATTGTATTGTTATTCTAATTGTCTGGACTCTGTAGCATTATTTGTACATCATCCACAGTCTTGTCTTCACCCCAGGATGTAACACTGCCATATTTGCCACTTTAACTAGGCATGCTATATAAACCGATTGTTTTGCCTTATTTCATTTTATTCATTTCTGAGAGCTGTTCCAGCTTATATACCTGATGTTGGCATATATTTCTCTCACCCTTTAACATCCTTCCTCTTCTCTGAATTTTCCCCTAGTAAATATTGATCACATCTCACTTTAAATTTTTTTCCTTAGGGATGCCTTTCCTGGCTCTGTAGAGACCCAGGAATGCTGATGCAATAAAGTCTGTGGATTAAAGTAGACATGACTGCTCTGGAACTATAAACCACATTTCACTTTTCTACTATGATATTCATCCCATTTGAAATTGTTTGCTGTACCCATTAAACTGTAAAAATGAAAAAGAGATTCTTTTAAATAGCTAGAATCTCAACATATTCTAAACCAAATAGTTCCTCTTTTTTAAAACAGTGTGTTCTCATGTAATATATTATCAAATAATATAAAACTTCCTTTACATAAATTACATCTTTAAAATATATCAATAACATTATTGTAATGTCTAAATTTTACAAATATTTTTCAAGCTATTTTATAACAAATATTGTTGAACATATAGTCTTGCATTACTAGTACTTTTTTCTAAGAGGAGGAAAAAGAAGAAGATACTTTTAATGAGAGGGAACATTAGGAAAGATTGAAAAACATAGGTAAGTGGGAAGATTGAGAATTGATTTATTACAAGCCCTAATTTGGCAAAACTTGTGGAAAGAGCTGATGTTTTCACCTTGTTAATTTTGTTAGGCTAATTAATGTGCAATAGCATTATTTTCAGCCACTAAAATCATGAAAATAAATACGCACATTGGGACATAAATAATTTAGGTAAGATATTCATGCTCAAAGACACAATCTAGAATATAGTTTAAACTTTTTATATTTTTCTTTTTCTAAAAATATTATCAACAAAACATAATATTGAAAGCAGTTATAGTTTATAAATATAATCTTTATTTTTAAGTAGTACACGTTTTGTGTATTTTTATAAAATATTTATATTAATTTATCTGAATTGTTTATATTCAATTTAAAAATTTCAAGGAACACTCAGTATTAAAAGTCATGGTGTCTGGACAGAAGGTGATGTCCAGGAGAAGTTGAAATATTAATAGAATTACATGAGTAATTTCATGAGTAAGTATGTTGTCTAAATTTATTAAACCTTAGTTACAAAATAAAATATTTACAAAAATGTATTATTTTAGTAATTCATATGTTAAAATCAGTTATTAGATTATCTTATTCATATGTGTTTTAGTTTCTGCCATGATATATATGCTCTTTATTCTGTTAAGTTAGAGCACCATTTTAAACAGTAATTCTACACATAATTAAACACACATTTTAAAACACTGTTTTTAATTCACAATTTCATTTTAAGAATGAAACCTCTTACTTGTTATTTTCTTGTGCAATCTTATAAAACTTCGACTACTATCCTGAAATGCTAAAATTCTTTATTACATTATTAATTTTAAATCATACATTCAGTATTAATAGAGTCAGTGAAATAGACTAAAGTATATACTTTATGAATATATTAATTTTCTATTATAGAACAAGGCCCATATAAAAAGCCTCAAGAAATATGAGTATCAAAAAATTTTCTTCAGATCTCCATGAACCAAGTAGTCCCCTTTCTCTGGAACTAACTTACTGGCTTCTTCTAAACTTGAATAAATACATAGAGATGGATGACTCCTTGATACATTTCTAAATTGTTATTATGTTTCAACAGTATCACTTTTAGTTTTGTGTTGTTTTGTTTTTAGAATTTTGAAAAATTAAACATATACATGCAAAAGAGGCTGAAAATTTAAAATGCAGCTATCATGGCTAACTTTATACGTCAACCTAACTACGCAACATAGTGCCCAGATAGCTAATTAAACATTATTCTGGGTGCGCCTGTGATGATGATTTTGGATAAATTAACAGTTGAATCAGTAAACTGAGTAAAATGGATTGCCCCATCCTAATGTGGGTTGGCCTCATCTAATCCTTTAAAGGACTGAATACAAAATAGGCTGAGTGAGAGAAAATTCACTCTCTGCCTGTCTGTCTGAGATTGTTCCTGGCATTTACCAATGGCTCTCAGGGTTCTTAAGCATTGAGACTCAGACTTTAACTACTGCATTAGCATTCCTGGGCCTCTGACTTGCAAACTGCAGATCTTGAGGTTTTTCTAAATTCCATAATAACATAAGCCAATTCTTTGTTATATGCATGTATGTATAATAAAATAATATATATGTGAATTTAATAATGTGAATATAATAGTGTAATTTAAATATGTAAGTGCATATAATAATATAATATATATTTATAATATATATTTCCTGAGGAAAAAACTTTCGTGTATATAAATATAATATGTATAAATATGTAAATTATACTTTATATAAATAAAATTTTAGTCTGGGTTTTCCAGAGAAAGAGAATCAATAGTTCTTAGGGAAAGTTGTATGTTAGGGTGTTTCATTTGACACCTATTCATAGGTACTAAGAGTGTCTAGAAGAATAGTTCTTTTGCTCTCAGCCTTTCCCAAATGAGCCAACACCTTTTATCAGAGTAGCTGTACACTAAAAAAGAGGACATTTTCAGGCCCTTTGGGATTATTGGGCACTGGTTCTGAAATGGCATTGATTCCAGGACATCTAAAACATCTAGTGTGTGCATTAGTGTGATGTGCACATCAGAGTAGAAGAATATAGAAATAAGGTGATCACTGGAATTCTACTTGAGGTTTATCTCATGGTGAGCTTAGTGGGCCCCCAAACTATCTTGTGGTGAGGGATAAATTGTTACATCTGGCCCATTCTACAACTAAAAAAAGTGGGGGCGCAGTGCCTAGTGGGCCTCTTTAGATTTTTAGAGAGATCATGTTCCTCATAAGGGAGTGTTACTCTGTTCATTTACCAAGTCACCTGAAAAGCTGCTAGTTTTGAGTGAGACCCAGAACTTGAAGAAGTCTTTACAACAAGTCCAGGCTGCTCTGTGAGCTGCTTAAACACTTGGGCTATATAAACCGGCTGATTCAGTGGTTGAAGTGTTAGGAGCAGATAGATACTGTTTGGAGCCTTTGACGGGTGAATCGATAAGTGAATTGCAGGGCAGGTCCTAAGGACTGTAGAACAAAGACGTGGTATATTCTGTGGGTAACTAATCTTTGGAGAATCAGCTCTTGTTCTATTACTGGGCCTTAGAAACTGAATGCGTGTCCATGGGCTGCCAAGTCACTGTACAACCTGAGGTATTCGTCATGAACTAGGTGTTATCTGTCCATAAAGTTGAGTGTGCCCAGCAGCACTCCATCATCAAATGGAAGTGGCAGCTGCATGATCAGGCCTGGATGTGAGCTGGGAGCACAAGTTAAGTTACAAGAAAACGTGGTTCATATGTCCATGTTCCCACTCTA